TTGCATGCAAAAGAATGCTAAAGCTTCCTCCAGACAGTGCCCTGCTCAAAACATACGTTAGCTCATGCAATGAAAAGGGTGTATTACTGAGACTACTAAAAGGAATTGAAGGCATTGTAATAGGATTGACAATTGGAATGTAGCTCTTGAGCATATCTAAGCATTTTTTATTATCACGGTCATTCCATACAGCACAACTGCTTAATTTTCGACTAGAATGTCGATGACCATTGATATAATTCCAGAAAGAACGTGGGTTGCCGTTACCACATAAATCTTTAATAGCGATAGCTCCTTTTCGCCTTTCTAACTGCAGACCTTCATTCTTTCAGTGTTTTCATATATTCAAAGTAGTCGGCTGGATTTGAATATTTAAAGTGTTGACGGGGAAGAGTTCCACCAAGGTTTAGGTGAGAAGGACTCAATGTCAGGAAAGTTGGTTCTAGCAGACGTGATCACAGACTGAAAGGCACTTTGAATTGATGATCAATCAGAAGGAAGATCAACTTTAGACAGACGGTCCATAAGGAAGTTGCGTGAAATGAAATTTTTTATTTTCTTAACGGAATTGTTACAACTGTGGAATAAAATGGGGGAGTGCTGACTTTTGCCAATGGAAACATTGGATGTGTTCCAGTTGAAAGATAAAATAGTTGAGTTCGAGAAAGTTAGATCCAAGACACTGCTCGCCGTGCGACCGCTCCGGTTACAGTGAAAGGTAGTATTGCCGTTATTTAAGACCCTGAAACTGCTGGAATTGATGGCATTTACAAGGATCTTGCCTTTGTTGGTCGAGACTTGATCGCCATACAGGCGATGTTTTGCATTGAAATCTCCAGCTAGAATCACATTTTGTTCACCGTCAAAAAAGGCGCATAATCTTTGAATCTCATCACGAAAGGTTTGCACATCGAGACTGGGTGGAAAGTAGCATGATGCTATGAAAAGATTCGGTTTCAGGTTCATGGTTTTGATGATGATAATGTCAACAGCAGAGTTATAGGGAATACGTCTGAAATTGACACCTGTCTTAATTAATATACTAACACCACTATAGCCATCATTTGTAAAAAATGTTAATTTATCATATAAATAGATTGAAATAAAAAAAATTTTTTTTTTTTTTAATATTTAACTTCATAACTATTCGTTTTTATTTGTCCTTTACCGCTAAAAGTGATTTCAACAAATTTTTTTTGTCTTTTGTTTTTTTCTTTTTAGGTTATTTATTATTATTATAATGTTATTGTTATAGTATTATTATTATATTATTATTGTTATAGTATTATTATTATTATTATAGTGCTGTTTTATTATATTTTTATTTTACAATATTATTCTTATTATAGTATTTATATTATGGCGTATGTACCGCACTTTATTTTTAGCAAACAGTTGTTTAGATATCCGGAGTTGTGGGGTCTTACTAGCGCACAAATAGATTGGGAGGTGGCTGCTAGGGATTTGTGCGCATATTTATGGTACGCACTAAAGTTTGACTGCGTCACGGAGCGGACAGACTGACAAAGCAGTTAACACCAGACGGGAAAAGAAAAATCAACATAGAAACAGATTCGGACGACTTCCTAGGGTTTTACGAGAAGGACGTAATGGACAGGTGCTTTTTACCACTTTTGAGACAAATGACCGAAGACATAATAGACAGTAAGTAAGATTGGGGAACTATTAGGGCAAATGATGGAGGAACTAGTAAAAGGTATAATTCACGAAACTGTAGAAGAAATGACGGGGAAACAGACGACAATTAATGTACAAAGCCCTGCTTATGTATACATTAGTAATAGTATTGATTATAGCATAGACAACGACGGACCATCAACCTCCGCAGACGCAACGCGGAGGTTGAGAAAACGGCAGTTCCAATCAGCAGATGAACATGAAGTCCGGCTCAGTCTGATCAGTCATCACGCCGGTCAGCACATACTAATAAATCACCACAGTATTTAACCCTAAAACTGCGATGACCTTCAATAGTGCGGAAGATTAAATTCGATTTGAAAAATCTCACGTTTGCAACATACAATAATTCCGCGTATATGGCGGTTTAAATGCAGTATTTAGGCCATTACTGTTGGAAGGGTATGAAATTTTTCCTTTTCTTTCCTTTTCAGTGCATACCTGTAAGTTACTATTTTCCTTTTTTTACAGAGGCTTGAAAAATGATAATGTTCCGGAAACGTTCAATAGGATGGTTGCAGCAAGTTACCGGTCTTATATTTAAAAATTGTCCCTTTACCGTCGTGGGGCCCTACGTTCAATTATATAATTATCTAGTATATGCAGTTGCTGGGTCAAGATGATCCGATTTACACCAATAGCTGCATGAAGGCATATAATAAGGTTTTATTTCATTGCATTTGAGGCAAATTATATTTAATAATCAACGTTCACCGTCTTCTCTTTAGTTGCGTGAAATGGAAATTGTACGTTTGTGTTTGAAACATTTTCGCCAGCAAGGTTGCGTTTAAAGCAGGAAGAGAGTCAAGTGCATTTGGAGGAATTTTGTAAAATTTTTTTAGGTAATCGTGGCAGTCACCAGTTAGTTGTAGATGCAGAGAAACGTTTGGTTTACTTATACGTGGGCTATGATGGCTTTCAAAATCCCAGTGATTTATGGGTTTTTGGAAATTACGACAAAATTTTGGACACAATTATGTGCCCATTCTGAACAAATGAATGGACCTATACCACGTCCTTGTCATAAAATGATTTTCGACCCCTTAAGTAAAAATATTTTTAAGCTGGGTCGTTATTTGAACAATTCGATAAGAACTAAGGAGTACATAAAATTTGACTTCTGTTTGTATGATACACGTGCTGGCATCTGGTTACAAATATGCGATGATACCAGTCAAGTTAGTGGCCCGCATCTTGTATATGATCATCAGATGTGTATCGATGCTGAGAAACGCATGATATATGTTTTTGGTCGGAAAGTACTAACGCCACGCCTTAAGTAGAGAAAATACGGACAATTTAATTCATGATGAGTCTATCGATGCGGACACAACAAACATCTTCACAATAGCTTTGCTTCATATAATCACTTGATTGATACAATTCTAAAGTTTCATTGTTGTAAATTAAATTATGTATATAAAAATAAATTTCGGGTTATAAATATTGGTTCGAATTAAAACACGTGCTTGTGTGTAATTTTTATTGACGATAATGATTATATTCAATGATTACAAGATAAACGGTCTAGCCATCCTAATTTATCTTTTCAATGTAATTATTTTCAAAATCCCCAAATTTTAAATAGAAAGCTAAAGACGGTATCTATTTTTTCAATTTCACGAACGAATAATTGAATTTTTAGTGGGATGCAGCATCAACATGCCCATACACATATTTCTCACAATCGTGTAGACAATCGTGTCGAATAAAAGTGCATTTATTTGTTAATATCGAGGCCCGCTTAATTTCAAAAGCATTTTTTTTTGCTCTCGGCAAACTAAACATAAAAAAGAAAATATAGTAAAAATAGTTTTTCAATATGCGTACATATCCGTAAGTTAACCAGCTCGGTTGAGAAGAATCAACTAAATCAATGTAATAGAAATTATTTGCAGAAGATATATTTTTAAGATAACGAAAAATCCAAGACCATATATCACTTAGAGGCGATTTCTTCACATTGATAGATAGCTCAGCGATTAGAAATCCATGTGTATAAATTATAAAACAATTTTGTAATCAAAACTTTTTAGTTTTTCTTTTTTAGACTCCATTGTATGTATACTGTCTACGTTACGGTCGACGATCGCTTCCTCAGGAATGTTTACCAGGCCTGAAGCACTTCAAAGAATTGATATTATGGTTCAAATATGGCTCGCCAAGGTGGGTCCGACTTTGTTTCTTGTGACCCTTCAATTAAGGCTTCATCATTCTATTTATTATATCTATTAGGCTCTTCACGTTTTTTTGGACAAAATTGAAGATATATTTTCTATAGTGAATAATACATTATGCGCGATCGGGTCGTTAACCGTCGGTTTGTTTCAGTTAACCTTTTTATTTTCTCTTCATTAGCTTCAAATGACTTTAAAGGCATGGCCACACGCCTCTGAATTCGTCCTTTCAAATTTCATATAATCAATTTGCTCGCACGGAGCAATACCGGCTTAACTTAGCATTTTTACTAATAGTGGGTCGGTAGTTAGGTAAGAATAGAATAAAGTTGTTGATATGAAATGAATCGCTTGCCTTGACCCTCATAAGTATTTGGTTAAACGTAGACCCGTCTTAAGCATTTTTCACATTTCAATTCTATATTTTGAGGTAAGATGTTTGCCAGCAGAATGGGAGAGAACCATTGCCGTCTTATAAGCCCCACTACATACTGCAACGTGCCACGGTAGTACGTCATCCGACCATTACTACTTTCAGTGGCCTTCGGAACGATATTCTGAATTAAGTGCAAAATATTGAAACAGCGTCAAGTGGAAACTTTTTTAAATAAACTTTTGAAAGATCATCATAAAGGAGAACTGGATATCTTAATCGGATCCCCAGGTTGCGGCAAAACGACATTTATGAGTGAGTATTCTTTGGATTTAGCTTTACAGAGGGTTTCGACGTTGTGAGATTCTTTCGAAATAAAATATTCGCGGTTGGCCGTTACCCTATTGCTACTACTCTTTGGGAAAAAGGCTGCGTGAATTTGAATTTTGGGCCGCCGAATTCGAAAAGCATCTAATATATTTTATGACGTTTCATGGACAACAACCGTTTAAGCTGGTTTTAGACCATATTGAACACGCTGCTATTTGATTTTGATTCTTGACCTTATTTGATTTTGATTCTTGACCTTATTT